AAGCTTTTGCATCACAGTCCTAGCTTCCTCTTCGAGCTATTTCCTCTGTTCCTGTGAAGACTAGTCCCTTAGTAATCATGCATTGATTGAGCACCCGCTGTGTGCACAGCACTGAGACGAGTCAGCAGCAGGTGGCAGCAAAGTTTCCACTCTGAAGACTGTAATGACAGAATCCTTGGTTCCATCCCTGCATCTTATAAAGTTGGTGTGGCAGTGTGTGCTGTAATCCCAGCATCTGCAAGTAGACATAGGAGGACTAGAAGTTCAAAGCCATCTTTGGCTACAAAGGATCTTGAGAGAATAAAAAGGATGCTGCAGTGGGAGAATGCTTGTCTAGCACGTGTGAGGCCTGGGTATGAACCTTAGCATTGCACAAAGATAGGTGCAGGTCAAGTGAGATGGTAAATCATGTGTGAAGAGGTACAAATGTGGTTGTCAAGCCATAAGGGCAATAACTTCTGGAGTGTGAAGTGGAAGGAGAGACCCCAAGGATACCTCCTGTGACTTCCCAACAAGGAGTGTAAAGACTGCTGAGGGAAAAGTGCTTATATAGCTAAAGAGAGCCTTGAACTTCTTACCTTCCTGTTTCCACCTCAGTGCTGGGATCACAAGTGTATGCTGTCATGCCCAGCTTATGGAGTGCTGGGCTTTTGCTTGCCAGCCAAGCACTCTATCACTGAACCATATCTCCAGCCACAAAATACTGTAAATAGAGATGTTTGTGTAGAATTTAAAACAACAAAAACTATAAACAGGCTGGAGAGATGACTTATGGGTGTGCTCGATGCTGTTCAGTTCTCAGCAGCCATATTGGATGGCTCCAGGATTTACGATGCCCTTTTCTATCCTCCTTTTGTACCTGCCCACCACACACACATAAATAGAATCTAGAAAACAATCTATAAAAATAAACATAAATCCAGGGGGGAAATTATAAATAATTCAGATGTGGTCTCATAAATCTTGTTATGTCCACACTGAACATGTGAAGACATTAAATAGGATGCAACCACACATGTGTGTTCTTGGAAGGAAAAGATGATTCCAAGATATGACTTCAAAAGTGGGTTGTAAAACACAAGGTTACTTTAAAGGGTAAAAATGTATGTGATACACATACAAACATAAATGGAAAGAGGCCTTTAAGGGCTGGAGAGATAGCTCAGGAGTTACGAGCACCTGCTGCTCTTGCAGAGGGCTTGGGTTTGCTCCCCAGCACCTACATGGGGGCTAACAATGATCTGTAACTCCAATTCCAGGGACTCTTGACTGCTTCTGGCCTCCACAGGCACTGGGCACATGTGTGGTACACATACATACATGCAACCAGACACTCATATACATAAAGCTAAATACTTTTTTTTTAAGGGGAGGGACCTTAAAACAGCTCACACAGTTACACTTAAAGTGGAGATGGGAAGGCTCTTTAAGAGTGGTACTGGAGAGGTGGCTGTCATTGAGAGCACCTCCAGCTTGTTTGGGTCTGATACCCTCTGCTGGTCTCTTCAGGCACCTGCACTCATGCACTTAACCCACAGTCAAAGACATGGATAATTAAAAGTAATAAAGATAAACTTAAAAGAGAGAAGACCTATCCAGGCAGTGGTAGTGCTCTCCTTTAATCCCAGCACTCGGGAGGTAGAGGCAGGAAGATCTCTGTGAGTTCAATGCCAGCCTGGTCTACAAAGCTACACAGAAACCCTGTCTCATGAGAGAGAGAGAGAGAGAGAGAGAGAGAGAGAGAGAGAGAGACCTTATAGTCATTCTGTATACTTTAGCCCATTAGAAAAATTTTAAGAATGATTGGCATGTGTTTTTTTATATTAACTGTTGTTTCTCAGGTTTTCACAACAGCATGTATACTGTGAAGCACTTCCCTCCATCTTTTCAGCATTCCCAACAAGTTAGTGTAATCTGTGTTTGACAGCACAGAAAATGGAATTAGGGTGGCATTAATAGGTCCAGCCTTAAACAGCATCTCGACTGACTTTCTAAAACCACCTCCATTCCTTCTGAGAATCTAACCCAGAGCCTTGGGCATACTAGACACTCTACCAGTGAGCTACATTCCCTGTCTTTGGTAGGTTTTTTGAGACAAGAAGATCCTGCCACATAACCCAGACTGGCTTTGAACTCTGATCTTCCTGCCTCAGCTTCCTGATTACAGATAGGCTGGGACTGCAGGCTTCTTCTGCTATGCCTGGCTGTGAGGCTGGTCTTAAGTATTGAGTTGTGGAGTCCAGGAAAAGGTCATAAGTTTCAAAAGGATGTCCAAGCTGGGTGTGACAGTGTACATTTGTAATTCCAGCCCTTGGAAAGGTGGAGGCAAGAGGATGAGGAGCTCAAGGCTAGCTTTAACCCATAGCAGATTCAAAGTCAGCTTGGGCTATTTGTCCCCACCAAAAGAAACAGGTTTTTTTTTTTTTTTTTTTTTTTTTTTTGTTTGTTTGTTTTTTTTGAATACTCAGATCCTTTGAGAGAATCCTAGGCGTGGAACCTTTCTGGGTGGCCCGACCCACAGTGCTTGGTGGCATCCCGGCTGTTAGTAGAATCTCCTTTGTTTGAATAAGGCATCTGTTCTATGAACCAATAGGAACATCAGAAACCCAACTTTGAACATTGGCTGTAATTAAAGTCCTGTGGGCTTTTGTGAGCCTCACTGAACTCTGTGGGGAAGACAAGAATGAGTGGTACTAATTTGAAGAGTTCTGCTCTGAAGTGTAGTTGTCAGGTGCATTTGTCGGTCAGAAATGCTGATAGTGGTGCTCTGTGAGCACTTATTACGTGATTGCCTTGGAATTTTCTGGTCCAAGATCAGATTGGTATTGCCTGACATTGTGGCTCAGTAGTAAGGGGCTTGCCTAACTGAGGCCCTGGGTTTGACCCTCAGGACGAAAGGTGGGCAGGCAGGCAGGCAGGCAGACATACATTCCAAAGGACTGACACCCAGCACTGCAGATCCATCAATAGACAGATAAGGTAGCAGCTATTCAATCCCACTCCTCCCCCCAAGTGATTCTTGCTCACCCTTTCCTGTCTTTAGCTTGAGAATGCTTCCTTCTGTGAGAAGACACTATCGGTGGTAAAGAGAAAAGCAGCTACATGCTAGTCTAGCTCCAGGCCAGGGAGAATAGTTGCTGCATCCTGTAAGCATCCAGGGTTCCCAGATGGTAGTTCCTTTGTGGATTCCACAGCATTAAACATACCACCTGGCTTCTCCTCTGCCCAGTGCTCACCCGGAGAATCTCATCCTCCAGCTTATAGTCAGTTAGGCAGAGCATGTTTACTGTTCTAGAGACACAGTAGGACTCAGAGTTTCTGAAAGTTTCATCCAGAATAGCACAGAGTGAGACTGCCCTAGGACATGAAGATAAAATGAATTCCATTTCCTTTGAGCATGTGTTTTTTGGACCCTATTATGTGTCTCAACTAGTACCCAGCACAGGAAATACTAAATGGAATTAGGCCCAACTTCCGCAAGAGAGTTCTGTGTCTTTTGGGGGTTTTGCAGGTATGGGATCCAGATCATCAGAGTTGTGTGAGTCCAGAGGTCAAGCTCAGGTGTCCTTGCCTTCCATCTTGTGTGAGCCACTGTCTCTTTGTTGTTCTCCACTGCATAAATCAAGTCACAAGTGTCATGATCACAAATGCCTATTGCTGTACCTGGCTGCTTTACATGGGTTCTGGGGTCTCCACTTGCATGACAAATGAGTTATCTGCTGAGCCAGCCCCACAGTGTGTCATATAATGTCCGTGGAGAAGCCAGGGTAGCAGCTGGCATGAAGTGGCTGCGGGATGAATCAGCAGCCCTGAGGCAGGGTGTCTCCAAGTGGAGGTGATGGTTGTTTAGTTGGGTCTCAAAGGACAGTAGTGAGCTACCACATTTGGCTTTTAGTGTAGGAATGCTGAAACGATAAGGATGCACCTGGTGCCAAAGCCCCACTGGAATAAACCCTTCCTGGCAAACTGCCTGTCTATATCCTGCTTTATTGAAAATACTGGAAAGAACCATATAGCAAATGAATTGGAAAATCCTCAAGACTTCACCAAACATCCCGTAAGACCTGTGTGCGGCTCCTGTCTTTCTCACCCCAGTGTTTAGCATCTGCGTTGACATTTCTCCTCTGATAGAAAAAAGTCCTCATTTCTGAGGAAAGAAGTGAGCAGCAGATTGGCTGCCCAGCTCTGCCCTAGACTCTTACATGGAAGCAGAGTCAGCGTCCCTCCTTTATATTCATTTGTGGATGAGTTCCTTACTCATAATGAGAAAGTTCTTACATTCGGGCTGTAGTTTCTGTAAGCTGGAAATGACCTGACAATGGCAGAGAAGAGTGCACTTACCATGTTCCATAGCAGTGAAGGGAGTGTAGAGTTCTCCGCTGGGTCCATGCTGGGTGCTGTATAATGGGTAGAATGTGTACTGCCAAAGCCGGGTGATGGTGGTGCAGGCCGATCTCTGTGAGTTCAAGGCCAATCTGGTCTACAGAGCAAGTTCCAGGATAGCCTTCAAAGCAATACAGAGAAACTGTCTGGAAAAACACCTTGACACCATGTTACCAGTTTTTACTTTGTATTGTTTCCAGACAGGGTCCTCCTGTGTAGTTCAGTCTTACTGCTTGCCCTTCTCAGGTGTTGGGAATTCAGGCATATGCCAGCACAGCCAACCTCGAGTGTTAGGCATATGAAGGTACAGATGGTGTGATACTGAATAACAAGCAGTCAACTGATCTCTTAGAGGGTACGCATCTCCGTGTATTGATGGTAGTGTAACAAGATCACTTTTCTACATTCATCTACCATAGCAGGACCAGTTAAGAGAGCTGAAAAGGGGTGCTATAAGAAAGAAAAACTTTATTTTCTCTGGTTTAATCAGTTGTCCCCAGGCCTGGACCTTTGACCCCAAGTATCCTTTCCCTGTCTGCACACTTGCTGCCCAGGGTGATCTCAGGAGCCAAAGTTCTTCTCTAGGCTGTTCTAACTCTCATTTTTTGTTTCTTCAGGCATTTCTGGGAAAAGCCAGCTTCTGTTTGCACTGGTCTTCACAACTCGATACCTGGATCTTTTTACTTCATTCATTTCACTATATAATACATCTATGAAGGTATGGTATAACATCAGCTCCAGTGCATTTATCCACAATGTTTCATCTTCAGTGTGTGTATATGTAAATGCAGGCAAGCACATGCTGTGGTGCCTGTGTGGTGGCCAGATGACACTTTTGGGAATAAGTTCTCTCCTTTTACCCAACTCAGGTTGTCAGGCTCAATTGGCAAGGGCTTTTACCTACTGTGCCATCTTGCTGGTGTGTCTGCATGTCTGTCTCTCTATAGAGGTTTGAATTTTCAGTCATAGTCACCTTATTGCACTCTCTTGTCCCCCTTCTGCTAATTCCCTTTCTCTTCCCAACAAGCTCCCCTCTGCTTTCATGTCTTTTTGCTTTATTTATTGATTTTGTAGTGCTGGGAATTGACTTGGGGGTCTCATTCTGTAAGCACTTTATAGCATGGTTCTAAGAATTTAGTTTGGGGCACCCCCTACCCAACACTGTATTTGAAAGCATCTTGATGAGTATAGGTTAATTAGGAGTGCTGTATTTGGGTTTATGATCTTTGCTAAAAACAAAACAAAAAAAAAATTAAGGAAAAGGCAATTTGAGTCAACTGTAATCATTTTGTTCTGGATTCTAGTAATCAGGAAATATTTGGCTGTCTTAAAAATGGCTAGGTTGGGGGCTGGAGAGATGGCTCAGAGGTTAAGAGCACTGGCTGCTCTTCCAGAGGTCCTGAGTTCAATTCCCAGCAATCACATGGTGGCTCACAACCATCTGTTATGAGATCTGGTGCCCTCTTCTGGTGTGCAGACATACATGGAAGCAGAATGGTGTATACATAATAAATAAAATCTTTAAAAAAAAAAAAAATGGCTAGGTTGAGCCGGGGACATAGCTCAGTCTGTACAATGCTTCCGTGTCAGCATGAGGACCTCAGTTTGATCCTCAGCACCCATGTATGTTGGGTGTGGTAGCACTTACTTGTAATCCCTGCTCTAGGGAGGTAGAGACAGGAAGATCCCCAGGGCTCAGAGTCCTGCCAACCTAGCCTGATTACTGAGCCCTTTGTCTCAAAAACACATTAGCTGGAGCAATGACTCAGCAGTTAAGAACACACACTGCTCTTGTACAGAAACTGAGTTTGGTTCCTAGCGCACACATCAGGAAGCTTCAGGGGATCTGGCTTTCTTGTGGCTTCTGTCATGGATACCTACACATGTCATATACTTGCCCAGACATACACATAAATTACAATAATTCAAAAACACCCAAGGTTGACTTCTGTTCTACACACACAGGAACACAAGCCCGGATGAATGTATGTAGACAGAGTGACTAGGTAGGGTTCTGCTTACTGTCTGAGTAAGATAAAACTGCAGTTACTGGGGATGGGAGAATCAGAATCCTCTCTTCCTACTGAGTCCCAGCTCTCAGCACAATCCTGCTTGCTTGCTTGCTTGCTTGCTTGCTTGTAGAGCCAGAGCCCAGCTGTAGGTCACAGGCAGGGCCCTGGGAAGCCCCAAGCTATAGTAAGCCTGGACTAGGTATGGTCCAGAGGGAGTGTGATATGGGTGCACCTCCATGTATGTTTTCTTTATTAATACATGTGTAGAGTTAAAACCAACCATTTTAATACAGGCTGACGATTTACAGAAATAAATGTATAATGAAGGACTGGGAACTGTTTAGTGTCATTGTGGGTTTTTAAACTATGCAAGGACTTGATGATTACCCTCATTTCCCTATTAAGTCATTTGCCCCAGTGTTTCCCTAATTAAGTTTTTAAAGTTGTATTTCCTAGGGAGAACGATTAACAAGGCAGTGTGGTCCTATCCCAGCCATCTCTATTCATGTTTGAAATCTGAGTTTGATTCTTAGGTCTGAGTGTCTGCACTTTACAAATTGATATAATTTCAGAATACTAGGTGTTCCCTTGTGCCTGGGTGACCTTTTAAAGATGAAAGAACACAGGACTCAATTGTGAGCCCTTGAACAGCTCTGTTGCTGTGTGCCCAAAATTGCTGTCTTGGAGGCAGAAGTGTTTTACAAACTAGCTTCCAGGGGACTGGGGAGACTGCTCAGCAGTTAAGAGCATTTGCTTCTCTTGCAGAGGACAGGCATTTAGTACCCAGCACCCACAGCAGCCTGTGATTCCAGCTCCAGGGGATCTGACTCCCTTTTCTGGCCTTTGTAGACATACAAACATGTGCACATACATATACACATAAATCAAGGATAAAATAAATTTTGGAGCTGGCTCATCAATTAAGATGCTAAGTTCATACTGCTTTTTTAAAAATTAATTTTAAAAATTAATTTCATTGAGCTGGAGAGATGGCTCAGAGGTTAAGAGCACCAACTGCTCTTCCAGAGGTCCTGAGTTCAATTCCCAGCAACCACATGGTGGCTCATAACCATCTGTTTTATGAGATCTGGTGACCTCTTCTGGTGTGCAGATATACATGGAAGCAGAATGTTGTATACATAATAAATAAATAAAATCTTTTTAAAAAATTAATTTCATTGTTTTATATGTATGTTGTTTTGTCTGCATTTATGTATATATACTACATGTGTGCCTAGTGCCCATGAGGTCTGAAGAGGGCATTGGATCCCTGGGTCTGAAGTTACAGGCAGTGGTGAGCTGCCATGTGTGCACTGGTCCTCTGCAAGAGCAACCAGTGCTCTCAACCAGTTTCTCAACTTGTACAGAGGACACAAGTTCGATTCCTAGCACCCACATCATGTCGTCTGTAACTCCAGTTCCAGGGAATCCAATACTTTCTATTCTGCAGGCACCACATTCAAGTGCACAAACCTACAGTCAGACATAATAATTAAAAATAAAATCTTTTTAAAAATAATATTAAGGGCTGGAGAGATGGCTCAGTGGGTTAGATCACTTGTTGCCCTTGCAGAGGACCTGACACCTACAATTCCAGTTCCAGGGACTTTAATCCCTTCTGCCCTTGGAGGGCACCAGATAGGTGTGGTGTATGTATATACATGCAGGCAAAACACTTATAAAATAAAATTTTAAAATCTTAAAATAGTAATCTTAAAGTTAGCTTTTGGCTTTGCTTTGTTTTAATACCAGACTGAATTTCACAGCAACAATCTGAATATTTATTGTTAAAGTAACACACTGTTTTGCATTTTTTAAAAGATTTATTTATTTATTATGTATACACCATTCTGCTTCCATGTATATCTGCACACCAGAAGAGGGCACCAGATCTCATAACTGATGGTTCTGAGCCACCATTTGGTTGCTGGGAATTGAACTCAGGACCTTTGGAAGAGCAGTCAGTGCTCTTAACCTCTGAGCCATCTCTCCAGCCCCGTTTTGCATTTTTTTATGTTCATTTATTTTGTGTATATCTGTGAGCGTACATGCCTGGGTGCACACATGGCACTGCTCAAGTGTGGGGGTCAGGATGCCTTTAAGGAGTTGTGATGCTCCTTTCAGCACATATTTCCCAGAGACTGAACTCCATCATTGGGCTTGGGCCCTAGTGCCTTTACCTACCGAGCCATCTTTCTGGCCCTCAACAAAGGAGTGCAGTTTAAGTAAAGCTACTATAGCAAAAGTTTAACCTGAATTACAGTGCTTATCTTATCTTTACAAAAAAGCTAGCCAAAGAAGTGTTGGATGGAAGTCCTTGGTCCAGAACTGTAATGAACTTTGCATTCTTTCCCCTCTAAAGCCACTGTGTCATAGGGTAAGATGAGATTCAAAGCCTGTTTTTCTGGATTTCCCTAGAGTTTTAAAACACATGCTTAACATTTGATCCAGCACCCTACTCCTAGGTATAAATGCAAGAAAAATGAACCTTACATTCACACAAAGGCTATAACACATGTTCACAGCAGCTAATCACCATCTTCCAACTGGAAACAGGAGACTTCTTTAACTGGTGAGTAAGCAGATTGTGATACAGCTACCTGTACATTAGATCTCTGTTCAGCACAAAGGAGGAAATGGGCCAGGGATATGACTCAGTGGATAAGAGTGCTTACTGCTCAGTTGTGAGGCCTGGAGTTCAAGTCCCAGCACCCACATTTGGCAGCTTACAAACAGGTTTACAATAGGGTGTAACTCTAGCTTTCAAGGGATTTGATGCCCTCTTCTGGTCTCCATTGGTACATGTGCACACATACACATACATAAATAAAAAAATTTTTTTGGTCTCTAAAAAGGGAAAATAACTAATGTATGTAGCAACTTTGGCTGACTCTCGACACATTGTGCTATTTGAAGAAGCCAAATGCAGAAAGCAATGTGTTGTTTGACTTCACTCATGTGGCATTCTAGAAAAAGCAAAACTGGAGCCTGGAGGGGGCTTGACTACAAAGAGGCAACAGGATAAGATTTGGGTAGTAGAACTGTCCTGTGTCCTCCTTGTGGTGGCTGTGTCACTCAGGAGTATTTAAAACTGACTATATGGTGGTGGGAGAGTGTGTGTGTGTGTGTGTGTGTGTGTGTGTGTGTGTGTGTAAAGCTGACTATATGTAGTACAATAGTGTTTAGTTGCAATGTGCTCCTAACCTGGTGTCTCTCCTTTGCCTAGCTTATCTACATTGCCTGCTCCTATGCCACGGTGTACCTGATCTACATGAAATTTAAGGCCACCTATGATGGAAATCACGATACCTTTCGAGTGGAATTTCTGGTGGTTCCCGTGGGAGGCCTCTCATTTCTAGTCAATCATGACTTCTCTCCTCTTGAGGTTGGTGAAGGGATTATTTAGTGGTCACATCTGATTCCCTGTTTACAGAAAATGGATTCTTATTGTTTTCTTCCTTTGTTTTGCTGTTTGGCAGACTCCTGGTACAGTATACGCTGATATACCAGTCTATTTACACCCAAATACTTGGGTGTCTGCTAACAGTTTATCTGTCATCTGCTAGATGTTTCCCCAAACTAAGACTGGTGTTGTGGTACATGTCTGTCAGCCCAACACCTAGGAAGTAGAGGCAAAAGGATCAAGAGTTCAAGGTCATCCTCAGCTAGTGAGTTTGAGGTCAATGTGAGCTACATAAGATCATGTCTCAATGAAAGAAAGTGGGGGGTGAGAAGGACTGGGGAGATATCTGTTAGTAAAGTGCTGAGCACCTGAGTTCAAGCTCCAAGACCAAAAAGAAAAATGGAAGTGCAGTGTTGGGGGAGGTGGAAACAGTAGATCACTTAGTAGATCAGCTTACTTAGGCTAGTTAGTGTCTCAGAAAAAGAGGTGGGTGGCACCTAAGGAATGAGCTCCTTGACTTTTGTCAGGGGTGTGAGCATTTATTGACAGACTCATTGTTAGTTGAAAAAATAGCTAGGAAAATGCCGTAATGAGAAGTCACACCATACAACAGGACTCACATAGGAGATTTATTGGAAATGGAGAGAGAAGGGGCAAAGACTGGTCTTTGGGGACAAGAGTGGTGGAAGAGAAACAGAGAGAGAGGAAGAGAAAGAGAGATGGGAGGTGGGTGGGCCTTTTTAAAAGGGAACACAGTGAATGTGCACAGGTGGTGCTCTCAGTGGCTGCAGCTGAGGGCATATCCTGTCAGGACCCCAAGGACAGGCTGGTACAGATGTCTGAATACTAACAGCAGAGGCAAGTGAATCTCTGAGTTCAAGTTCAGCCTGGTGTACAGTGAGTTCTAGGACAGCTAGGGCTGTTATGCAGAGAAACCCTGTCTTGAAAAGCCAAAATGGAAAGGAAAAACGTTTAATATAGCTAGCATACCAACCCAGCACATTGTAGACTATCGTTTCCTGTCGGTGCAGGTGATAGATGCACTGAGCTGACTGAGATCTGCAGCTCCTCTGCTGCCCAGCATCAGTACATTCCACTAGCCCCAGTTTAACAATGAACATTTAAGTATAGTTTCTGTTGAGTGTGTATTGCTTTCATACTTTTGGAATGTTGAAGAATTGTAAGGCAGAGCCATCTATAGTGGAAAAATATGGTCAGTTGGTAGAGAGTCAGCAGAAACAGTGGGGTGGGTTGGGGACTGGATCTGGAGTGGGATGAGCCCACACAGTAACACCTTCCATGTGGATTCATGGTAGACAAGACATGACAATTCCCTTACCCAGCTCATCCTTGGCAGCTCATCCAGCCTCTTAAATGGTCTTTGCCCTCTGTGTTGTATGTGGTGGCTGCTTGCTCCTCCCAGCTGAAGCCAGCCTCCTGTCTTTCAGATTTTATGGACCTTCTCCATCTACCTGGAGTCAGTGGCCATCCTTCCACAGCTCTTTATGATCAGCAAGACTGGCGAGGCTGAGACCATCACCACCCACTACCTCTTCTTCCTGGGCCTCTACCGTGCTCTGTACCTCGTCAATTGGATCTGGCGCTTTTACTTCGAGGGTTTCTTTGACCTCATTGCTGTGGTGGCTGGTGTCGTCCAGACCATTCTCTACTGCGACTTCTTTTACTTATACATTACAAAAGGTACGTCATGTCTGCCCTTCAGTTCATCGTGGCAGATTCTGTCAAGGGCTTACTTACCCAGCTGCCTTGAGACAGGGTTTCTCTATGTAACACTGGCTATCCTGGAACTTGCTCTGTAGACCAGGCTGGCCTCAGACTCACAGAGATCCATCTGCTTCTACCCAAGTGCTGAAATTAAAGGCGTGCACCACCACCAGCCAGCATGGCTTTGTTTTTGTTTTCTGTTGCTATTATTTACTTGTACTTGAAGCCTGCATATGAAATGAGGACCAGGGTAAGGAAACTGAACTTGTCCACCCAGTGATGTCTTGTTTCTGTTCTTTTCCATCAAATTTTAGTACTCAAGGGAAAGAAGCTCAGTCTGCCAGCGTAAGTGCCAAAGACCATCAGCAGCCTCTGTCCTTCAGGGTGCTCAGACAGGATTCTCACCACAGCGCAGGTGCGGGATGCTCAGTGCGGAGAAGCAGAGATGGCTCCTTCTGTCACAGCCGCTCCCTGGTGGCTCTTCGGGGATGCGGAGGAAGGGACCAGGAGGCTCAGTCCACTGCATCCTGCCTTATCTTTTTTATTACTATGTACAAAGAGTTTTTTACACAAAGAAACTTAATGCTGTGTTAATAAATTCAATGTGTAGATGAATTGGGGCAGTTCCAAAAGTGACAATTTTGTACAGAGTAAGTACAAACCTTTTTTATTTTTTTGAAACTTCGATGAGATGGTCGATTCTTGTGTCTACAATGAAATTATACTCCTCGACACTTGGTAGATTATTCAAACAACTGTCAAATTTCCATGATATTTATTTTATTTCATTTTTTTGCCAAAAGATGAGTTATGTTTGTCTGAAATCTGAGATGCTATGTTCCATTTGGTGTTTCTGCCCAAACCAGTCCTCATTGCCCTGGAAGTCCTTCCCCATACGTCAAAACACTACACTTCAGGTCTGGGAGGATGGCTGGCAAGTCCTACAGTTTTCATTATAAAACTTGAGGTCCCCAGTGGAAACAGTGTCAGCCGATGCCACCAAATGCTCTCCCTTCATCCCTGCTGAGATGTGGTAGCTTGCGATTCTCCAGAGGGTGTTGAGAGCCCACCACACCCGGAGGCTCTGAGCCTCCTGCCTTCTGAATGGAATGTGGACAGGGTGGGTGTGAGGGCTATTTTGGACAGGACTCTACTCCTCTGAGAAATGGAACACAAATGGCTACCTGTCACTTTTAGTCACAAATTCCAAGGATCACTACAACCATGTCAGATTCAAATGGTCTTTTTCATAGCGCTTTTGGTGATAAAATGATTGACAATCTTTTTAATTGGCAGCACCAATTATCCATTCCTTACATTCTTTTTAGGTTTTTTGTTTTTTGTTTTTTTTTTTTTAAACTGGGCTCTTGCATGACCTATCTTGTGTTAACCTCCTAAATAAACATTTTATTAAACATAATGTATGGTCTTTTCTATCAATTAGGCTTCTGAAAACTCTTGTTAAGGTACAGCAAAAGCTCAATAGGGCTGCACGAAGCTCTACAAGGGCTGGAGAGATGGCTCTATGGTTAAATATTTGGTGTCATTGCAGAATTCAATTCCTAGCTCTCACATGGTGGTTCACAATTACCTATAACTCCAGTTCTGGGGGATTCAACACCATTTTCTGGGCCCCAAGGGCACATACATTGCAAATATCCATCCTCACACACACATAAAAGCTAATAATCTGGACATCTTCCTGTGTTTTATGGGAAAAATAGGGTTTCTTACGTTTTTGTTGTTTTTTACTCACTTGAATGTGTGACTTTATTTGATGCACCATAAACATTAGAAGTATTAAATAATTATGTGCTGACTGCAAGAACGGAGTAGCTTTGCTTGTGGAGGAAGAGAGGTGGGAGGGTTGTGTTTTTCATTTACTATGGGGTTTCTGCACCTAAGTTGGCAGTGCACTTGTAGGCTTGCCTCCTAAATGTCCATTTGACTTTGCTCTTGTGCCTGTGTTTCTGCCTTACACATCGGCATCCTTTGCCCCCATCATCTTAGTCTTCTAGTTTCTTGGATCTGCTTTCATCCTTAAACAATTCTGTGGGGGAAGAGTGGGAATCGGATCCGTCTGTCTGCCCACACTGGGGGGAGGGTATTGGGGAGCTCACACCTGGATTTCACATGTAAATGAGACACTGGGTTTGGGCACACTGCACAGAGCAAGGATTTCAAGCCTCAGGTAGCCAGCACCTTGCTCAAACTACCCAAGTAGAATAAAATTGGTGTTACCTACTACATATTGGTGGTCTGCTAAAGTGACATCTTGCTGAGACAAGCACCTGCATCAGAGCACATGACTGGATGGCAGCCTCATGTGTATGGGTGTGGGAGTATATGTGGGTCTCTGAAGAGGCCAGAGGCATAAAATAGCCTTTGGAGCTGGAGTTACAGGGGGTTGTGAGTGACTGATGTGGGTGCTGGGGATTGAACTCAGAGACTCTTCAAAAGCAATAGCACTCTGAATTGCTAAGCCATCTCTCCATCCCCCCAAAAATAAAGCTTTGAAAAGGAATAGATCCACGAGGGTGGGGTGGGGAGGGGGTGTTTTCCCGCCCTCTAGTGGCCAGTTTTGTCATTCCCGTAACCTGAGCTCTGAATCATCTTGCTCTCTTGTCTAGGCTAATCTTTGTAGTGTGGAATCTTGTGTATATGTTTCTTCTGCATAATTTCCTTTTATTTTGAGACAGGATCTCTATGTATCCCTAGATGGCTTGGAACTCCATATGTAGACCAAACTTGTCTAGAATTCATAGAAATTTGCCTGTCTGCCTCCCAAGTGCTGGGATTAAATACCTGATTTATAATTTCAATTTCTCATCCCAGCAATTTAAAAGCCAGGTGAATCCAGGTGTGGTGGTACAAGATTGTCATCCTAGCTACTCCAGAGGCTGAGGCAGGCAGGAGTAAATAAATTCAAGGCTAGCCTTGGAAACCTAGTGAGGTCTATTTTAAAATTAAATTGTGTGGCTGGGGAGATGGCTGAGGGAGTAAACTGCTTGCTGTGAAAGTGTGAGGACCTGAGTTTGAATTCACTAGCACCCACCTGAAAGTTGGGTGTGCCCCTGTAACTCTAGCACTGTGGGGTAGAGACAGATTCAGCTGGGAGCTCAATAGCAAGCAGCCTAGCTGAGAACTCAAAGTCAGTGAGAGAGCATGTCCCAAGAAATAAGGTGCTAGGAAGCAGTGCTGGAGAGATGGCTCAGTGGTTAAGACCACTAGCTTCTCTTCCAGAGGGCCCAGGTTCAATTCCCAGCACCCACAAGACAGCTCACAACTGTGTAACTCCAGTTCTAGGAGATCCAACACTTGCATCTGTCCTCCAGAGGCATAAAGGCTACATGTATGCAGATAAAACACCCATGTACGTAAAATGAATTAATTTTAAAAATTAAGGCCAAGTTTGATGGCACATGCCTTTAGTCTCAGCATTCAAGAGGCAGAGGCACTCTTGAGTTGAAAGCTAGCCTGGTCTACAGAGCAAGTTCCAGGACAGTCAGGGCTACACAGAGAAACCCTGTCTTAAAAAACACACAAAAAGTTTTTAATATATTTATTTTTAATTTTCTTAAAAGATTTATTTATTTACCATGTATTCTCTCTCTCTCTCTCTCTCTCTCTCTCACACACACACACACACACACACTGTAGCTTGATGGTGTATCACTTGCCTATTATACACAAGGTCCTGGGTTCTATCTCCTGAATTGGGATAGGAAGAGAAAGGGACAGAAGCATGGACAGGAAGTGGAGGAGGAAGAAAAGCAAGTTGCAGCATAACACAACACAAACACAGACACACCTGTGTGTGATATTGACATGTGATGCTCCAAATCTCTGCCTGAGTTTCCTCTAAGATTTCTAGTTTCATTCTAGGAACACCACCGTACACTGAAATAGAAAGAAACCCAGACTTGTTTACTCATTAAGTGCCTGTGACAATAAGCGTATCTGTAATAAGGAAGCAGAGTGCCCCAGAACTAAAGGAGTAGTTTATTATATCCTTTAAAACCTGGGGACTGAGGCTATCAGGACTTTAGAGAATGCTGAAGCCAGGCATGCTGGCACAGATGGCACTGAGGCAGACACAGGTGAACCCCTAAATTGGAGGCTAGCCTGGTCTACATAATGAGTTCCAGGCCAGTTAGGGTGACATAGTAAGACCCTGTCTCAAACAAACAAAACAAAACACCAACTATTTGGGCTGGCAAGACACAACTAAATAAACGTTATCAAACAAAACTCTCTATGAGAAATAAGCTAAAAACCTTATTTAAATTCTGAATAATTACCTTGCAAAAATTTACATACATAAACACCAATCCAGCATAGGCAACCGTGGCAAAAATCAAATGCAAAGATACAGATTTTATCCAAGATTCAGATAGAACTTTATTTGAAGCAAAGAAATTCAAGCCCTACATACAGAAATGGAAAGGGAATCAAACGATCTGGGGAAGTGACAGATTCAAGTTCACTTTCTGGCTAGTAGGATGGCTCAGTGCTTGAAGTGTTTGCTACACAAGCCATGAGAATCTGAGTTTGGACCCCTAAAACCCACATAAAAGTCTGGCATGGTGGTGTGTTCCTATAACCACAGCTCTGTGGGGGAGAGACAGGTAGATTCTGGGGACTCACTGTCCAGCCAGTGTAGCCAAAACAGAGAGCTCTAGGCCCAGTGGGTGTGGTGGCTTGAATGCCATTGGTACCCATAATCTCCTAGGGAGTGGCACCATTAGGAAGTGTGGCTTTGTTGGAGTGGGTATGGCCCTGTTGGAGAAAGTGTGTTACTGTGGAAGAGGCTTCAAGATTTCCTATGCTCAGGATACTGCCTGCTATGTCAGTTGATTTCCTGTTGCTCCAGCACCACGTTGCCACGATCCCCATGATGATGATAATGGACTGAACCTCTGCAACTGTAAGTGAGCCACCCCAATTAAATGTTTCCTTTATAGAAGTTGCCATGGTCATGGTGTCTCTCACAGCAATAGAAACCCTAACTCAGACAGTGGAAGACCCTGTCTCAGAAAGTGAGGTGGAGAGTGAAGAGGAAAGACACCTAATGTCAGCCTCTGGCTTCCAGATGTGTAAACACGGCCAAGTGCAGGCACCTGTATCCAGGAGTGAGCATGAACACGTGCATGTGTGTGCACACAAAGGGATCGGTTTCTCCAAGTTAATATCAGATGTGGCCAGTTGCCAAGAAGGTCTCTGAAGAAAACTGAACTGTAAATTTGCAAATAAGTATCGAGGCCAGAGGCTAACCAAAAGGAGGAACAGAGAAAGCTATCAAAGATCTTTCCTTTTCCAAAATTCATGATGAAACAACCTGTTGTTTTGGTTGTTAAATCTGCATCCCAGGTCCTTAAGTGCCAGGCATCTTTTCTATATGAAATGTTTCCATTATTATTAAAAAAAAAAAAAAAAAAAAGTCAAGGGCTGGGTATGGTGATACACATGGGAGCCCAGGAAGCCCAGACAGGAGGATCTTGAGTGAGCACTGTCTCAAAACAACAACAACAAAATCCAAAATTCATTGATGGAGAGTATAGGGGTGCATGGCAACAGGCAGGGAGAAAAGAAAGGAAGACACCTGAGCACGCCTTTAATCCCA